TATATATATATATATATATATATATATATATATATATATATATATATAAAATATAATAATGTCATTTGAATGGAATACGTATATACCAGCACAATTGTGGGGTCTCCAGAAGGTCTTTTATATGCAAGTTTGTAAATGCCTCACAGGCCCATGGAATATGTGCATCTGCCAATACCCTGCCATATAAATAAACAATTTTTAATCACAGGTGAATAATATTATTACTGTAAATAATAGTCATGAATTATGATTGATTGAAGCACCTTTGCTTTCTGACAAATGAGTTCCATAGATGCATCATTCGCTTCTCATCTTGGGCAACATCCACAAAATCATCAAGCATCTGAACCAATAAAATAGCAAACATACTTTCAGACATTTTCATTTCTTCCTATTACAGGATTCTGCTTTGAAAAAAGTAGCCAATAAAATACTCGACTAGACTTGTGAAAGTTTGAATGTTGTATTACAAAAAAAAGAGAGAGAGGTAGAATGGTATAATGAGAATGAGAAATTAAAGGCAGAGCAATGTACCCTTCGGTCTTCAAGATCAGCAACATCATCGTCCACTTCATCTTCACTGTCTTGCTCTGCAAACACTTGCTCCAAAGCCATTGGCTAAAACAAAAATTCAGATATTGGATTCTTGTTTTTTGTTTGTATAAAAAAAAAAATGTTGTATGGGTAAACCTGGGCTCTATGAGAGTGAAAGAATTTCCGTTTCTGCAACAGAGCTTGGCTGAAAAAAAAAACAGAGGTTAAAATTTATATATGAGTAGATAAATATTTAAAAGAAAAAAATAATAATAATAATAATACTTTCTAGGATTGGATCGTTCAACGGATAACTTTCTTGTTTTTGCAAATTGTAGCAGTGCAGGGGGTGCAATATTGGTTCCAGGTACTACTGCTGTTTGGGTTTGGGTTTGGGAAGATTCTGTTGGTCCAGTCAAATCAGTTGCATTATTAGGACTATTATAAATATCAACTTCCATGGCCTCAGAATCACCTGAAGCTGAAATTAACAAAAACATCAATTATCATAAACAAATAGAGAAATAACAGTTGTGATAAATAAATAAAAAAAAAAGATTGATATTCATATCTTGCCTTTGAGGTGGTTACTAAGAGTTGCAGGCATAACTTCAGATGGATGCGGATGCAGCTCATTTGCTTTTTCAGTTGCCTTCTCTCCTGTCTTGCGTCTAGTTGGCTTATGGCTGTCCATGCCCACAATCAAATCAGTTAAATCAATAAATCTCAAAAAAAAAAAAAAAAAAAAAAAAAAAAAAAAAAAACATATATTGGACTTACCAATAGTAAAGTGACTGTTGTCTAGGATCAATAATGTTGCCAAAAATCTGAAAATTATAAAATACAAATATAAAAAATCCATAACTCCTAGATAAGGGATAAGGCATGAGCTACTAACTACTTTTACTTTAGAGTGTAAAGTAAACAAATGGTATTCTTTCTAACCTCAGAACTGCATGTATCGGACTTCACGGATACAATCACTACCTGATAATCTTCATTTACCTGTGCAACAAACAATAATAATAACAACATATTGTAAGAGAAAATATCCTAAACCTCAAAAATAAACAAACGGTGGAAGATTCATGAAATTTACCAACCCAGAACTCAAAGCGAAACAGATCATGTGATGAGACCAAGTGAAGTCTCAGACCCTG